GATTAACAGGGTCTCTCAGTCAAAAAATCAAAAATCAAACTCTGCTTTACTTAGCCAAGCTTTCGCTTCTAATGGGAAACTTCTTCAGGGCCTATAATTTAATGAGTTGTGAATATTTTCGCCATTGAATAACATTACAAATCATACTTACAGTAAAAATGAGCGTAAAGCAATAAATTGAACATATAAATTGACGAGAAAGTTATACATGTATAGGATTTTTTTGTGGGTATGACAAATGTCGTGCATTCACATAAATGTCATTTTCCAATGGGTATGATGATTTCATAATTTTTGACTCTAGAGAAAGAGTTATTGATTGATTACAATTTTCATTATTATTATGTTTTTGATATAGTTCCAGTAAGTTACTGTATTTACTGCTGAGATTATCAATGCCAGTTTTCTTATTCATACAATCAGAAGACTTATTAATTCCAACCATTTCAAGAAAAAGGCGTTTGGAAATATTGTTTTCTGTATGTAAAACTTTGATATTAGAGTAATTTGGTTTTATGTCCTGTTTCTATAGAGTGTTGTGCTAATGCACATCATTCCTTATTGAGCTTTATATCATTTTTATGTGAAGTTACTCTATCATCAAGAATTCTAGATGTTGTATCAATATATAATTCAAGTTACAATTGTTACAAGGAATTTTATAAATCACATTTGACTTTTTTGTAGTATCCGTTTTATCTTTCAATTTAGTATTCAAATTCTTTATAGTTTCAATATTTTTTGGGATATTTTGATATTTTGTTCATTATGAAAAAGTTTGAGAGTCAATCTATTTTACCGTACATTTCTCCAGTTGCTAAGATTATCCATTTGTGAAATTATAAAACAACGATAATAATTTTCTGGTCGCAAATTAACTCTATTTGTTGTAATATGTATACTCTTATAATAACTATGTACTTTTCATCTGTAAATATGTGCAGTATTTCATATTTTCAACTAATCTAATGTCAGTATTCCAAATTGCTATCATTTTAAAATGGCGTCGTTCTATAATAATTTGCTATTGAATAATTTGTTATCAATAGCAAGAGTTTTAACGTATTTCACCTTATATGTTACCCCTATAAAACTGTTTAAAAACACTTAGTTCTAGGAGTGATGGTATTGCGGTAGAGTCGGACTACTTTTAAAGCTATAGATTTCTACACAAAAAAGATAGGATTTAACATGTATTGTATGGATAAATATTATCTGTCGGGATGTTTTGAGCTAGTGATTAGAGTGTATATGTATAAACACTCAAATCGACGGATTTTAATCATCAATAACCTTTTTCTGTTTTTAGCAAGAACAAAATTGAAGCACTAGGTTACTTAATTTTCTGGTGGCAAATTAACTCTATTTGTTGTAATATGTATACTCTTATAATATCTATGTACTTTTCATCTGTGAATATCACTGTATGTGCAGTATTTCATATTTTCAACTCATCTTATGTCAGCATTCCAAGGTGCTATCATTTTAAAATGACGTCGTTCTATTGAATAAGTGCTAAGATACACTTAGTTTTAGGAGTGATGGTATTGCGGTAGAGTCGGACTACTTTTAAAGCTATAAATTTTTACAAAAAAGAAGATAGGATTTATCATGAATGTATTGTTTGGATAAATATTATCTGTCGGGATGTTTTGAGCTAGTGATTAGAGTATATATGTATAAACATGGTGCTCCACTTGAATCGACGGATTTTAATCATCAATAACCTTTTTCTGTTTTTAGCAAGAACAAAATTGAAGCACTAGGTTACATGGGTCTTCGTCTAAAACAAATAACTTTTCTTATTTATCTTTTATAGGGATGCTAGTCAAATAAAGTTGACAAATTATACTTCATTACACGACCTCCAAAATCAATGTCACCTGGTTCTTCTTGAATGCTGCATTTTATTCTTGGCAACAGCAAATATGTATTAGCGGAAGCAATTTGATTTTATAACAGTTATTTTATTGTTTTGGAGTTGTAGTAAATATACCATACTATGAATGAGTTGGGAAATTATTATTAAAGTGACAATATGGTGATGAAANATGGATTTGTTTGGGACCGAAACCTCAAGATTTACCACAAATCATTCCACATGCCCATAAGGACAGTCTGATTTTGTGTAAAACTGTTTCCAAGTGACCGTTCCAGGTGACTTTTCCATCAAGGACAATGCCAAGATATTTCACCTCCGTTCCAAACGGAATCACCCCACCATTGGTGGAGATCGTTGAATTTTCTTTTCCTGGATTATCACAGTCTTGCAGGGCTTGGCAGACATCTGCTTCCTCAAGCACCAATTGTAAATAAGGTCCATTGTACATTGGAGGTAATTACAAGCTACTCTTCCCGACTTGGACCTTGTCAAGATGACGAGGTCATATGCATAAGCCTTTCAGATCTACTTCTCTTGTGTCGAGGGCATCAAGCAGACTATTCATCAGGAGCGACCACAGAAGGGGGATCACCAGCAGTATCCTCTCAATTCCTCTCAACAGAAAGAATGTAAGGCTGATTGGTCGTATTGATTTAGGGTGTGGGTCTTTCCGACCCATTTAGGTATATAGGTATATCTAGGTATATAGGTATATATAGGCGTTTAGCGGCCTCGAAGATGGAAGGTCTGTTGTTATCAATAGTCAGATTTCCAGGAAAGTGGTTTTTTATCAAAAGCTCTAACGTTTCTTTACTAGAGGTCGTGAATGTTCCATCGGGTCTTTTAAGCGACTTTTTGAAACGTAAATATAAAAAATGTATCAAATTGTTTTGTTGAAAAAAATATTTATTATGATTCTTATGGATACAGTCAGTTTCAAGAAGGAAACACGTATATATAAACCAAAGGATGAGTCATTCCTCTTTCTTTACAGTAAACATAACGCAGTTTTCAAATATTCACCTGATTCTTAAGGGAAAATCATGTATTCCATGTTGAGTGGAATTAGAGTCAACGATGATGAACAAACACAAATCAGAATTGAAGATATCTCACGTATTTCCAGATATATTTTCATGTTTCTGTATTGGACAAGAGTGATATTCATCACGATAATTTTAACGAATATAATTATCATTAGCAAAACTAGATACATTATGGATGGTCAATTGAGTGTAATGAAACTATGGTTGGAGTCCCGTCACCATATTGTATGGTTATAGAAAATTATATATCTTTCATTCCTGACAAAATACACAAAGTGGATTATATTAGTTACTGGGGAAATGAAGAGTAGAATCGATCAACGATGTGTTGAGCAAGAATCAGAATCAAAACACTACTCTCTACTTTGCCAAGCTTCCGCTTCTGAAGGAAAGCTTCTTCAGGGCCTATAACTTATTGAGTTGTTGATTTTTCCGCCATTGAATAACATTAAGAATTGTACTTACAGTAAAAATGGGCGAAAAACAATGCTTTGATAGTCTACTTCAGAGATAAATTCATTGATTGATACGATTTTCATTATAATTATGTTTTTGGTGTACTTTTGGTGAGTTACTTGGGAAAGAAAGTTTTTGGGTTTCTACTACTCCATTTCGATACAAAAAAAGATGAGGGAATCAGGAGGACTTTCTTTCAGTTTGTGTCTGAAAGTTACTTCTTTGCATTATCTACACATCCATGTATACAGTTACTTATTTTCAAATTGATTACTTCTTTCTTTTTTTTTGGAAGATTCCCTCATCCTTTTTTTGTATCAACACGGAGTAGTAGAGAGTTATAATATTAATGAAAATCGTATTAATCAATAACTCTCTCTTAAGAGTTGAAGATTATCAAATTATCATGCCCATTGAAAAAGTTATGTGAAGGTATGACTTTTGCTAAACCAAAAAATATCCTATACATATTTAATTTTTTTTTCATCAATTTATACGTTCAATTCATTTTACTGTAAGTATAATCTGTAATGTTATTCAATGACAAAAAAATTCATAAGTTATCCACAATTATTAGAAGCGAAGGCTTGGCAAGGTAGAGTAAACTTTTTATTTTTGACTGAGAGATCCCGTTTATCCATTTTACTGTATGCTGGTGACGAAAATTTGTGAAACATCAATATCACTATATTTTTCATTGCCGTCTTTACTTTTTCATATACTATGAATATTTTGAATATCATGTAATAAATAACTCATTCTTATCAACCTTCTGATACCATTATGACCTTATGAAATCAGTGTCGTGATTGTATTTTGAGATCTGAACAGTTTCCTGAAGTTAATCAAATATTCGTGGGAATCAAATATACATTTGTTTTGTTTGCGTTTGTGACTTATTCTATCAAACACTTTGAATGAAATATTCACGTATTACTCATAACGACAAAACTACCTTCTTGTGGAATCTCCCAGTAGATCATTCAACTGATCATTATCGAGCTTCTCTAACTTGGTTTCTTTAAGGTTTAAGCCGAATCCCATTACCTTAGATTCTCTTTTATTGCTCACCAAACTAACACCATCAACTAAATTGAATTTTTCGAACCGTAATGCCCTTTCGACAACTTTAATGGCTTCAATTTTCAAACACTTGAATATGTCATCTGTTTTAGCACACCGATCCGAAATATTTTCCAACACTTTGTACCCACTTATTCCTTCAGCCCATATTGAAGAAACTAGCATAAACAAGCAGAAAAGCAGAAACATCGTTCTTCACGAGGAAGAAATTGTATCGAGACTATGTTTGCGATGATGGAAAATTGCATTTTATTCGCCTTTGGTTTCGTGATGTTTGTATGTTTTAGAGCATAGAATTCAAATGCACTTTTCTGATAAGCGCAAAAAATTCACGCGATATAGAAATTGAAGATGGAGAAATTAGGTTACCATCTGTTGATGTCTACGACACTCATATGTTATTTTTGTGCTAATAAATGTCAATATTTCAAAAAGCAGTAGCATGATTGCAATCAGATTGTTCAATTCGTGATAATAATGAATGTGTTGTGATTTCTGCATGTCAAGGCCTCTTCCTTTGGATTGATTAGGAACTGAAAATGATTTTCCATATTCCCCAATGAAACAGTGATATAGATGGAAATTGAATAATTTATTCGTAATGACAATAAAGTCATTCCCTTCCGTGTATCTATTTTCTAGATGATTTGTATATTCGTTTCATAGGCGATGAAAATCTGTTTGACCACTTACTCTCAGTGTTCGAATTTTCTATCTAGGATATAATTTTTCATCAACTCCTATTTAAACTGAATAAGATCGCAAGTAGCAAAAAAAATTAATAAACATGATGAGAATCTTTTTTTGAGAATTTCAAAAGTAATATGAGACACTTCTTCTCACTATACCATCATTCCATTCTCAATGTCCCATACGTTTGAATAAATTAAATGCCTACGAATAATATTTCATAGCTCTTGAATTTTTTCAACGCAATCATAACCAATTTATTGGTGTGAGTGAAATTCAGTTCCGAATCACAACCTTTGAGAATTTGAAAACTTTCGAAGTTCAAAAACCGCTCACAAACCATACAATGGGGACTTTGCCTGGGCTCAAAGGTATTTTTTTTATATGTTCCGGATAGGATTCCGAGGTCAGCATTTCAAAGTTTCGGCTTCTGCTTTGAAGCCATTTTGAAGAACCACTTGGAACTGAAGTTACATGACTCGAGAACGGGGATATCATCTCCCTAATCCCCCAAGTTTCGTTACTGGCTCCAAGTGAACCTGTTGGAAGCCGTTGGACAGGTATAAATTAGAGGTATCGTAACAGGTACCCGGTCTGCCGGAAATGAATTCTTGATTTTCTGTTTGACGTGAGTTACTTTTAGATGTGTTGCCAAATAACAATGACCTCCGTGATTGCGGCAGTCTTTGCGAATCATCTCGCTTGTTAAAACTGTTGAGACGCTTTTCGAATTCGAAATCTTCACAAATTATTCCGGCCTTAAGGTTTTTCTCCGTAGCAATGGTTTTGGTGGTTTCGAAGCTTATTATGTTTCAAGGTGATGTTTGGAGAGGGATGAGGCTGGATCTGATTTGCCAACAGCTAGTTCATGTTCACAGGTTCTGTTGAAGATTCTTCTATTGGTCTGGCCGATATAACTTTTGGGACAGTTAGAACATGGTATTTCGTATATGACCTGTGCTTCATTACGTATCGTGTCCTTGGGGGTTCGTAAAAGAGTAGAGACTTGATTGTTGGCTATGAATATTGTTTTTACGTTATGTCTCGGTAACTCCATGAATTTCAAAAACTTCACCTCACGATTTGATTTCCACAAACTAGTTTTTGAAATTACTATGAATCTTCATCAAGTAACGGCCGAATCAATCGGAGAGTTCCATGGATGTAAGGGAGAAAAGCTTTTGTCTGGTCAGTCTGTTCAACTTTGAGTTTTTATAGTACCTATAGAACGGTGTATGAGAGAACTCAAAACGGAATTTAGCTGGGCAGGATGATGATGGGACTTATGATTGAGATAGCGATTGGTACGGGTAAGTTTTTAGTAGACAGTGTGTGAGAAGGAGTTGTTAGACTTTTTGATGAGGACGGTCTAGAAATGAAAGTGGGTTCATATTTTCAACTTTCATTGTGGACTCTGAACAAGGTGTATGGAGTTGATGTGGTTTTCGAATGCATGAAGGTCTTTGGATCCATGGGGCTATATAACAAAGGCATCATCCACGTATTGGACCAAAACGTGAGTTTGAGATGAGACGTGTCAATGGTTCTGGTTTTCAAAGTTCTCCATGTGAAGGTTTGCAAAGACTGGAGTGAGAGGAGAACCCAATGGGCACCTCAATGGGTCTCTAAGTTTCCGTATTGTTCAAGGTTGCGTAACACAAACTTTAAATTTTGAATAGCCTCAAAAGACAAAAAGAAAAGTAGTCAAATTCACAGAACAAGCAGGCTTCTTCAACTAAGCACGGTCACCATTACAGATGCCTGAGTATGTATGATCAAACCAATCTTCCACAGCACTAAAAAAAAATAAAAACGCACTAGCTTGTTGGAAAACAACTGAATATTTCAATTAGTCTCGATTGTTAGCGACAATTTCTTGAATCCGTGGACGAAGGATTCACAAATATAAAACGCCAGTCGAATTCTCCTCTAGAAATATGGGTTAAATTAGGTCCAAAGTGAGTGGGTCTATTCAACCCTCCACCGCAACCCTAAAGGGTTTATTGTGGTCCACACCAATTCACACTCGACCAAGTAAACCCAGCTTCTTAACGAAGCCAATTAGTTTGTATGGTGAGTGGTCTTTCAGGTCAGATGGTAGGCATACGGCTCGGACGAACTCTAAAAACTTGATTCGGTCCCCAGCGGGGCAGGCACAAGAGGTGACACATGCTGTCTTCCGACAGTCCGAGTCTCTGCATATGATGATTCAAATGACAGTGACCTGTAAGAAGGCCTGTTAGACATCGTAGTTCATTCCTAGTATAGTCCAACAACTGTTTGGTATCAAGCTTCGAAGGGTGAATAAACGCCTTGGAGTGAGTCAATCCTGGAAGATTCTGCCAGAAGTCCAGAGATCTTCTTGCCATCCAGGTATTCAATCTTTGTTTGGCAAAGGATAAAGCGATGCCATTGACAGGTTCTGGTCCGATGAAGCTGCTTGCATCACTTTTGTTTGCAAGGAAGTCAGCAGCCTCATTGCCTTCCAGGAATCCAGACCAGAGACAATCTGTTGAGTCTTCTTATCGAGGAGAGTCGTTTTTGGCAATTTGCTACCAACTTAGACATTGCTTGGTCTAAATATGGGACTATAAATATGATTTCTCAACATTTCTTCCCAGACATTCATTTTGTCAGTTCAAGTGTGACTTTTTCAAAAAATATGTGAGTTACTTAGGACCAATATCGCACATTTTGGCGGTTGACATTTCCGTTCAAGATAAAAGTGGATTTGCTACTAAAACAAATACTTTCTATTGAGTTTTAATTTACAATCAAACGTTAGGTCATCTTCATTTAATTTATGTATAATTTATATATAATATTGTTCTGATGATAAATGAATGTGGTTTCTGTTGGGACTCCTGTGAAGGTCAATATAATCTAATACGTATGATGAATTCAATATTTTTCAATCTCGGATTGCTACTTGATAAATTTTTCTGTAGTTGTTTTCATTTTAATCATTACGTTGTTCTGTATGAAATCAACTTTCGATGATTACAGATAGTGATACTTTATTCTCAAGAAATTACATTTTTGTGATAGAGAATGCATTTAACTCCAACTGGAGTTTCAGGAATGATCTGGATTATAATGCTCCCAAGCATCTTCCCCGATCTTTGCTGCAGCGACCTCTGACGATTCGTAACACTTTTGAATAGAATTATTCAACTCACCTTCACATATATCAGAATATTGTTTTACCGATACCAGGCTGGTATCTGGAAAGTCGTGAAAGTAATATTTATGATTTACCATCATTGAATTAATACAATTATCAAAATATACAAGAATACATCTACAATTTCAGTGTAATACTTAACTGTTCACCCGTAATATAGATGCCTAATTAAAAAGTATGGGAAGAATAACAAAAACTAAAGTTTCATAAATATCAATGGAACTGAAAATTATCATATATTTTATGATCCGTTTATGGAGAAAAGTTCAAGAACCGATTAGAACGCCGAGCAATTATACTAATTTTATGATTATTCATACCATCTTTGAAATTAGAGTTTTGAGTAGTTATAAATAATTATCCATTTCTATAATGGAAGCCAATTGGTCATAAATGCACATATGAAACCAAAAATGAAAATGAATACAATCGAGTGATCACCTTACATTATTTAAATTTCACGACATGCGATTGCACCTGGGTTCACTCAACACCAAATTTTCCTTCTACTCGATTAGATTAAAAGAAACGTGTTTTTCAATTCAACCAAATAGAATATTCTGTAAGCAAGGGCCAAGTCAGAATAGTTGACACTATGAACTTGCAGAAAATGTAAGGTTTTATCGGAAATTTATCTGATCCCTGAAGGAAGTATCAAAAAATTATTGGGTTAAAAGAATAACGAATTTTTTATTAATTTATAGACAAACCGGGTAACAGTCTTAATCAATTTTCAAACAGCATACATTCACAAAAAAATATTGTGCAGTTGTGCATGAATTAGGTCTATCATCAATTTTTTCTTTCTTATTAGTCAGTGGGCTATGCTTGAAGACTGGCAGTAAACAAATCTAAAGCAAATAGAACTTCAAACGTTCAAGCCAGTCTCTATATACCTACACTGTAGGTTTAATGGACTGACACCTATCAGAAAACAACTACTCCCCTGGTTAATACCACGAAGGGCGTTGGATTATATCCGACAGGCGTCAGTGCAGGAATTTTCACAGAAAATGTCCTGCATATGCAATTGGCAATACAACTGAAAGAGTCGACCTTCAATTATGGAACGGGCACACTTGCAGACCGGTTTCGGGCTTATTAGCCACCCATCAGTGCAATATAGTGACCATCATCGACCTAAAGTCAATGATATTCCACAATTGAAAATCGGAATTCTTTCAGAGTATTTCATTCCTCTTCCAAAGTTGAAGCGAACATCACAAAATGTCACTTCATCAATTTTTTCGTATTCAAAAGTTCACAAAAACGCGACACGTGTATTATGCCTCCCGAAGATGATATCGTATAGCGAAATATGTGTCGAGG